TACAGACTGGGTAGGCATTCGATCCGCTTGCATAAGGAAAAGCCTGCTCGATTCATGTAATTGGGAGGAAATAGTAAGTCTTGGCTTCGGTTTGATTTTTGTATGATAGGGAAGTGAGCTCATTCAGTGTGATAACCCAAATTTGTGAATTTTTTAAATGAAAATTTTGAATTTTAGCACCGTGCCTTATCGGATAAGGAAGTGGAGGAAGGGAAGGAAAGAAGAGAGAAGAAAAAATTAGTAGCCATATCATTTCATCTTTTTTTTGTGGAACTTGCTCAGATTATGGTAGGTGACTCTGATCCTACTTCTATTTTAAAAAAAATTTAATTTCAACCATTTTATTCTCTCTAGAACTAATTTTATTATGTTTTGTCCAATTATGATACAACAATAGCAAAGGATATAGGAGAAGAGAGAAAAACAATCAAAAAATATATTTTCACTCTTTATTTATATAGTTAAGCTAGCTAGGGATTAACACTGACATGTGGATTCGATGAATAATATACATGTAGATTACTACTTCTGAAGCAGTCACCTACTATGAGGTGACTACATTAGACAAGTCTTCCAGAATGATTATCTTAGGTGAGTCTTCGAGATTTGTGTCGCAAGGCAAGTCATCGTTAACAAGTTTTTAGGAATAAGGGGTGAGTCCCCTTGACGGGGATAACTATTGTCCAAGGATGATTCCAGGTAGTCACATTATAATCATATGCTTAAGAGAAGTACCATTCTTATAACTGATCGGGGATGCCATTAGTAGATGATTGGCCTTTGTCATTGATAGGTGTTACAAGAGAGTATGGTTGTTTAAGGCAAGTGATTTATAAGAAAATTTTTGTCATCCTTAAACATATTGCATAATTTATGATCGAGTATGACGTAAGAATGATGATATATTATCCCGAAGGATAAAAATGTCATTTCCTTATGAACTCAATAATAAAATTTATAATTTTAATAGAGATTTTCTCATTAAATATTTGGTTGAATGAGGTTTATTTCATTCTGGAGTATAGATGTCCCATGGGGGCAAACCTCTATGGTTAATTACATCTAGAGCTTTTGACACTTGAGAATACTTTGATTAAACTAGTAGTTTTCTTGCTTTTGAAAGTCATTTAGATATTGGATAAAATTTGATTTTGAAATCAATGAAAATCTTATTTAAAGAGAGTTAGTCTCTTAGGAATTTCAAGGAATAGAGGAGATCAACTTGAAATTAGATTTCTTGGAGTGAGGGCCAAAGGAAAAAAGTGTAGGAGTACTTGATTCTGAGGTACTCAAACTATCTTATATTGATCTTTACATTTTAGGAATTTAATTTTTGTTTAAGTTAATATTTTCATTAGAATGTTGGGGCTTATATTTCAACAATTTATATTGGAGGAATTGCCTAAAAGGTGAGGATATATATGGTGATTGGAATCAACTATTGCCTATGATCCTAAAATTAAGGTGAGGACTATCGAGAGATAATATTTCAAACCTAAGTCTAACATAATACAAAGGAACTTATAAATTATAACACACATGAGGCATAGCCACCCCGACCCCAGGATTTATTACCCTACCTGAAAAGAGATAACAACTAAACCCACTTAATCAATTTTAAAACCATGTTTTTCGGTCTCAATGTACATGAAGAGTAGGGAGGCTATTTTATTAGAAAGTTGGGCTTACAACTTTGCTTTGAGGCCAAGATGCCTAATTATAATGGTTATGCATAATGCTAACTCACAAATAAGATTTTTTTTAATATATAGTACTTAAGTGGGGGCTTTCTATATATGACATATTTGGGTTATGCAAGATTATTTTTGGTTTTGAAAAACTTGGCTCCCTAAAAAGGAGTCATACAATTTTCTTTATTGGAAAATCATAGTCTAAGTTGATTTTAAATTGTTTACATTTTGAAAATGTAAAAATTTTAGTTTTATCCTAAGTGCCTACAAGATTTTCATGTCCAAGCTAACCCCAAGCAAAAATAAGGAAGAAACCTAAAAATATATACATTTCTATTGCACACTCAGTAAACAATCAATACATGATTGAAAATACAAATTAACTAAAGTAAAAAATGTAAATAATATCTTAATTATTACAATCAAATTTAACAGCTGAGTTGTCTGTCATTATACAACCTAGTTGAATTTTATTATAGCCCTTATTTGATTTTTTTTTGTGTCGTTCTTGGGGGGGGGGGGGGGGGTCTTCAAGCTTTTGACTTCTAAGTGGACATCAGACTTCACCTTTTGTAGGTACATTCTACTGGTCCACTTCTTTATTTTAATCTAAACCCCCAAAAATCTAATACAATTCTTAATTATATTAAATACACGTAAAAATTATAAAAGACTCAAAGCTGTAAAACAAAGTTAGAAAGTAGTTCATATAATATATTACATCCAAAATTTGCCTAGCACTTGAAGTGCTAAACACCTACTTCTACCCTATTGGTCACATCACTTGGAGAGTTTTCAGCGGTACCTATCATACAAGTATTTTTATATTTATAATTTATTTTCACCCCTTTGGACATGGTCACATGCAAGAAAATAATATATATTTCTACACTAACCACTTAAGGACAAGTGCCCATAACGCATACAATCCAATAGGCAATCACACCACAACATCAAACACATGCGTAGAAAGAGAAAAATCATAATCCTAGCATGCCTAAAGGGATGTGCACCTAAGTGTGTGAGGCTCGTGTGGCATGTCATACAAAGGGTGTTTACTTAGAGTTTGGGTCTAAGAGAAATGTATCAAACACTAATTTTGAGCTAACTGTTGGAAAGATTCTCCTTAGCTTTTGGAGCTAGGGAGATTGCTAAAGAAGATGAAGATGCAACTTAGAAGTTACAACCTATTGAAAGTTCTTTGAACATTTAACATTCAAAAAGGAATGAACACTATCCTAACTTAGATTAGAAGAATAAGAAGATCTTCCTACAACCTTTGAGTTGTAGAAAGAGATGAAGGAATGTGCAACTTATGGGTTGCACATTATAGGATGAATCATTGAACTTTACAGTCAATGACACATAATCATTTACCGAATTGTTATTAGAAAAATGAGGAAAGATATATGCAACTCAGGGGTTGCAAGCTCATGAACTTCTTTGAATATTTGGTGTTCAAAGTGGGTTATACGCTCTCTCAATTTTAAAATTTTAGGAGAGTGAGGTGATTTCTTACAACTTTTGAGTTGTAGAAGAAAGAAACATCAAACAACTTATGGGTTGCATGTTGAGGGAAATTTCTTGAACATTTAGTGTTCAAAGAGAAGTGATCATTTACTAAGTTGGGAGAATGTGGAGGGTTTTTCATAGCTTTAGGGCTAAGGAAGGTTAAAGAATTTCCTACAGTATTGACTCGTGGGAAAGGAAGGGAGGATGCAACTTGGAGGTTACAAATTCATGAATATTCTTTGAACATTTTGGTGTTCAAAGAAAAGGTGTACGCTCTCCTAATTTAGTTTAAGAGAAAGAAAAGGAATTTGAATATTCTCCCACAACTTTGACTTGTAGGAAAATATTGGAAGTTGCAATTTAGATATTGTAAGTTTGAAAAGGTCTCTTTGAACTTTTGGTTCTCAAAAAGAGATGCGGACATTTATTTAGTTTAGACTAAGTAACGGAAGAGACAAGAATTTTGGGTCTTATTTCTAGGAGGAAAGTATACTTGTTGATTTTGTGCTCCAACAAGTGAAATGAAAGAACCTATAATTAGGTTCCAAGTTCAGGAGCTTTATGCAATGATGTTGTTGAAGTGTCGGGGAACTTCGTTCCTTTGGAGACTCACGCAAGTAGGTCCCGCCACCCATAATGCCCAATCCGGCCTCCTCAATGTGCGAAACAAAGGAAAATTCCACTTGAGTGGATTTTCTGCAAGATTTGATGTGAAATTGGGCAAGATTTGAGATGAAATCTGAGCCCTGGGTTTCAAATTCCTTATTTGAAAACTAAATTTAGCCCAAATTGACCTATTAGGGCTGAAATTGAGTCCGAATTGGACTCAACCAGAACCCTTTGAGTCAATTCGAGTCCAATCAGGCCAATTTTGTGAGAGTGGACTCGAAACGGCGCCAAATTGCGTTGAATTTGGTTCAATGGGACTCAACGAGATTCGATTTAGTTTGATTTGGAACGATTTGATTTTAATTTAACAAATTAGGGTCCAATTTAAGTTATTTGACGCTCGACGATGGTCAATTTAGTCGATCAAGTGTGATCGCGCCCAATCGAGCTCAAATCGGCTCGATCCGAGTTGAGTCGATGTGGAAATATACGACAACATGATTCTCGAGGTAATTGTTTTTTTTTTTTTTTTAGGCAAATCTTTTAGAGGGACTCATCGAGAGTGACTACATCTTTGATTCATTCTCCTTAGGATGAGCATGCACGCTACAATCACCTGCAAGAGAGTGATTGTTGGAATGTGGACAAGCACTAGCAATAGCTCTTGTAGGTTCATGCTCCTCTGGTCAGTGCTTCTTCACTAGATGACTCTCCTGATCGTGTTTCTTGCGACCAAATCTGTACGAGTATACAAGACATACATAGGCATTGACCATACTTTCTATTTGATTTGAAAAAAAAAAAAACTAGATGGAATGCAAATTCATTTTGCTTCATAATATCATATTAATTTTTGAATTTTAATGTAATTCTTAGATAATTGAATTACATTAAAAATAAGAAAAAAAAAAATTTATGGACAATTTTGTTCTTAACCTTCATAAAAACAGAAGCAAAAATGATCACATCATTGTCAAGACTTGCACGATCCCTCTCAAAAGCATAAAAACTCTAGTAAATATGTTAAATTCAAATTTGTTGGTTGATGATAGCAGATCCTGCTAGTAGGTGATTGACAGTTTTAAAATGTCAATAGAAATACTCCCACAACATTCAACATAAAAGAGAAAAAAAAAATTCAAAATATGCCCCTTCACTTCTATTAGACTATATCATATCTTTATTATATGCACATAATTTTGATTAGCACAATTACAAACATATCTTAAGGAAATACGAGCTTAAATTCTTACCAAAAAGATAGAATAGTACAACAGAATTTTAACAGATTATAAGTGTTACATGCCACAAAAGAGAAAAAAAATACACATCTAGTAGATCAATATTTACATAATTTTATGCCAACAAAGCCGACAACAGATTCATATTAAGATCGCAAGCCCTGAAAGAACCAAGGACAAGAATTAGTGAATGTTGATTCTAATTGGATGAATATTACTTAAGAGTTGAATAAAGGCTCTTTTCCTTACCATGATTCACAGAAGCTTAAGCAACAACAATGACAAGCAGTATAAGGCGATACAGACAATGCTTGCTGCAATGATCTTGTAAATCAGATTTTTGTCATCGCCACTAGGTATGCAAAACATCTTGAGTTTGTTGGTCAATTGAAAGATTCTATGGGCAACCTGAAGAAAAAATGGGAGATATTAGAAGTTTTTTCCATCCCTTGGTTGCAACCTGTTATATGTAATCACTTGAAATTGCCATGATGTTTTAAGTTTTCATTATTAATTATTTGATTGGGGCTGTTTAAACCTTCATTAAACCCTGTTAGGTGGCAGTTGGTGACCTGTAGTTCCAGCAAATGCTGGCCAAAAACCTCTTTCTTATGGTTACATATGTAGCTTGGATTTTTTCAGATATTTGTACTTTATGGCAAAATTAAGAAATTGGGAGAATTTCCCGGGTGGTATTCAAATATATTGCCTATGTATAGAATTTTCATCCCCTCACCTCTAATAGCCAAAGTTCCACTCAAATATTGAACGTCATAAAAATTTTTCACGTTGATCACATTCTTAATAAATTTTATTGTGATGTATAAATGCATGAGTTCAGCAGTTCTTCTTTTTCAAGTACTCGCTTGATATGTAGACATACATGGTTTGAGTAGTATGTAACTTTTCATAAGAAATTATATACAAAAATATTAAACTAGTTTTCATATTATAAAAAATGTCAACCAACCTACCGTGATGTAAATAGCAGATGTGAGCATGAAGTTGAGCATAGGGTAATTAGGAATTAGAGAAAGCAACATCCTTGGCTGTTCATCTGGCCCTCCAGTTCTGCAATGACGAGAAAAAGGATTAAGAGCGCCATAGACCAGATGATGGCTTTCGAATTCAATCACCTGAGCCAAATATGGAACTGTGATATGTAGGTTTCCAATGTTATCTTTCCAAGCCACCTGATTGAGAACACAAGAATTAATCATTGAAAACTTCATATAGATTAATTGAATACAACGATAAAAATGGGAAATGAAATACTCACGACAATAGAGTGAGTGAATAGCTTCTAAACTGCTGAGTTAGGTTCCGCAAGCAAATGTAGATACTGTCATTCCAGAAAAAGGAAAAGTTGCTCAACTATTTTGGGTGATGAGATCATAAATCAATATTTAAAAGGGAAAAGTGCATACGTAATTGGTATCCATGAGGTGTAGGGATGATATCTGTTGTATGTGTACTTTTCCAACTTGTAGACAAACTCATACCACAAGTATCCAGCCTGAAGAAGTAACAAATGATCTGATACTACAGGATGTTTGAAGATCAAAGGACCAAATGGTTCTTATAGACTCTTTATGAAGAATCAAATAATCCTCAATTATATTAAAGAATCATTTTAGCCTCGTAAGTCTTTAAAAATGAATTAAAATAGTCCCATGGTGAATGGACCAAAATGGTCATTTAATATAGTTGAGGACTACTTTGATCTTTCATAAAGAGCATTTTTTTAATGTTTGCATGATGGCTCACATTCTTTCTCATTGATTCAAAAGAATATATAACAAGATCGATAATTCAATTTTAGATATGTTGCAATAGTCCTTCCATAAGTCAAGCTACGTCAACTAAAGCATATCAAATACTTGAACGAGAGAACAAACAAAAGAAAAAAAAATTGTAATTATTCCTTAATAGAAACAGAGAACAAATCAAAGTAATGAATATACAGTTGGAAAGTTTACCCCTACACAAACGGTTGCGATGGAAACTTTGATTAACATTCTCCGTTTTACTTCAGCTTCTTCAAGCTTTTCAATCCATCTCTCAACCTGTGGTTGTAACAGCATCAAAGGCATAGGAAAAAAAAAAATTGTATTGGCTAAAGTTAAATTTACCAAAATGGGAGGGCCTGACAAAAATGTAAATGATTGAAACATTTATGCTTACAGTTGGATGGTAAAATGCATATATCATTCCCACAATCCAGATATAACGATCAAGTCCAGCACGAAATTGCCATTCATGCATGGGTGGATACTTCGTTATTGCACTTGGATCAACATAGCCTATATGTAGGTTTCTTGCAAGAGTTTACAAATCCTTCATGAGTTAAAAATAAAAAAAGCAAAGGAACTGGAGGGGCTTACCTAAGAGAAATGTAAATGGACTCCATACAACATCAAATACACCAGGTATCTCCCATACCAAAACTATCACTAGAAAACAAACAGCAATTTTTATTGCTATGACTGAACTTCGATCATTATATTTGTTCTGAAATCCAAGTGCGCAGTACACAATAAGAGTGAAGAACGTATGCATTGGGCAGATGTAATAGAGCATATAATGGTTATTAAGGACAATGCAGCAAAAAGCAACAAAGAAGTTAAGTCTCCACATCATCTGTTTAAAGACCAAAAAAAAAAAACATACATCAGCAGCATATTCAACATTGCAAGTGAAGTTTGGGATAATGGGGTATTCAGATGTACCTGAACAAACCGTCCAAGGCTGAAATCCTTTCGAATATAATAATAAGAGAAGTTGCCAAATCCAGTCATCCACACATATGCTGCAATAAAGATACGGACTGCATTGTAGATTTCTTTTGCAGCAAAATAGTGATACATCAGGAACAATACCTGGAAAATTAGAGGATTACCAATTTTCAGATATATAAATGTGGCACTTAGGAGTACTACTAGATAATACGATCAATAACATCACTAAATGTCATCTTGTAGTTGAGGGAAAAGAGCTGTCATAATTGCTGTAAAAAGTTTGCTCTCAACTTTTAAGAACATTCCAAATCCGAAACTAATATACAACGCAAACTGATAAGTCTATAGGCTTCTATGTAAAATAATTCATAACAGGTAAATAAAATTTGGACTTCAACTATCACAGTAGTAACTAATTAGTACTTCACGGGACTACAATGTCAAAAAAGCATATTAAATGCATAGCAAGAGAATCAGATCAAAGAAATTCATGAGCTATAATGTGTCATCAAAAGTGTTAGAAATCCAGGAAGTAAAGGAAAAGTCCAGGAAATAAACGAAAGTCTGAGGACAAAATAATATGCAAAAGAAAATCAAATATACATGTTTGACCAATTGATTGAACTTTAGAGGACTAAAGACATAGGAGCTTCAGGAGATATAAATCAATAAAACAAACTTGTCAACGAACCTGCATCCACCCCCTCCACTCTTCGGTCTGATGCCTATTCAAATACATTATGGGCTTTCCTGAAAATGTTGATCCATCATGATGGACCTTAAACGAAGTCATGGCAGCTACAATGATGAGCAGGAAGTACAGGAACAAAAAAATGTCCCTGTTGTAATTCTGCAAAGAGAGTTGTGACAGTAAGCATACTAATTGTGAAATAACATGCAACATATGGTTATGAAAAATACTACAGAACTAAGCAAGGTTGTTACGGGCTGGCGTCTGTTTATAAGAATTTTTTATGCAGCTATTATGCTGCTTCTTGTTCACGAGAATTATGTGGTTGTTTAAAATTCTAGATTTTTGAATAAAAGTGACTTATGAAGTTGCAGGTTATCTGAATCAAATTGAGCTAATATTGTGCCAACTATATTTATTACCAGAGGATAAGGATGGATGTTTGGAGGAATGTAAATGATTAATTTTGATTGAATAATTTTTTTAAGTTTAAGTAGAGAGAGTCGTCTTAGATGGTTTGGCCACATAAAAAAGTCAGCCTTCCAGTAACCTTATTAGGAGAGTATGCGTATTAGATCTAGCATATGTTAAAAAAATAGAGGTAGACCTAAAAAAATTTAGTAAAAATATATAAAAAATGATTTTTTTTAATTAGTTTTAAATGAGAATTTGACACTTAATAGGACACAATGAGTAAAAAAGATTCATGTAGCCAACCCCGCGTAGTAAGATAAAGGCTTGTTATTATTGTTATTTTTTTCCAATAGGATGTGATTCCTTCAAATCCAGAATAAATGCACTACCTAATTTTAGGGGAAGTCATCTCCCGATACTAGCATGCAACCGAATTTTTTGCTTCAGTGAATTATTTTCTTGTTTTTATCGACGTATTTGTAAAACTGAAGTTAAAGAAACTTTAAAGAAAATGCTGATCTGCCTGTAAATTATAAAAAGAAATTAGAAACGGTCACTGCCATTTAAATTTAGCATAAAAATTTGCATCCTTAGTGGACCTAGTGGTTCCTAGTTAGCAATATCTATGAAATACTATGTTTCATACCCTAAAATAAAAATTCACTACTGGAATAGCAAACACTACCTTTGTTGATTCTCCAAAGAGATCAGTCCTGTCGCAAATATAATAGTACAGCAGAAGAGCTCCAAATTCCACCCTATAAATTTTAATCAAGAGTGAGTCAATACAATTTCACTCCGTAAACTACCATTGAATACAAAAGCCAAGGCAAAATCTTCTTACATGGTTCTCAAGATAAAACGATTCTCAATCAAAAAATCCTTGTCCAAACAGAAGAGCCTAAACAATCCAATAGAAGCACATGGTGTCAACCAAAAGTAAATTATTTTATACCAAAAAAAAAAAAGAAGAAGATAAGAAACACCTGACTATGGGTGAAAATTTGCAGTTTTCTGAAGAATCGGGTACAAGACCTCCCTCTAGTAGATGAGTTTCAGTATCTTCCCTAGGATGCGCAAGATGCCGACAAGCCAAATCGGCATCATAATGTTTTCCACTAAAACAAAGAAAATACAGTTTTTAAAATCTAAAAAACTACTAGAATTACATATAACGAATGCATTATTGACTAGTGTGATACTGATTTGAATGAATGTGTTTCAACAACTCACAGCTTTGAACTGTATTTTCTTTTCCAGTACTGCAATAGCTCAGAGTACACCCAGACTACGAAAATAGGGATGTAACCAAGTAAGAAAGACACCTGCACAGTATCAAAAGATATAGTTTCCATATCCATATAAGGCATAATTAAGAGATGAATAATTATAGAAATCTTTCTAGGTTCCAACAAGCAAATGAGCACTTTAGGCCTCTCTCTTTCTCACCGTAAAAAAATGACAAATTAAAAAAAACACAAAAAAAATGTCAAAAAAGAAGAAAATATGTGGAATTATTCATGAAATTTGGAATAAACAATGAATTGTCAATTCCAAACTCAAATCTTATCAATCACATGAAATCTGGTTCGGCTGGTGCACAAGGTAAATAAATCCTCTGTAAAACAATAGGTCATTTCATTGCAAGATTTATCTAGGAATTAAGGTAAATATTGCAAGATAAGTTTTTGAGCCACATAAATCCTACTCAGTACTCTTTTTTTTTCCCTTACTATCTTCTTAAATCTTATTTTCCTCCCAAATTTTAGGCTAAATCCTGCCAGGTTTCCTCCAATTTAAGAGAATTATGCCACTTCTCCTCATCAGGTTTCATTTTCTCCTTCATTTAAATTTAAAATCTTGAAAATACATACGTAACAAAAAAACCAGAATTTAACTAGATTTAGCATTTACCATGCAAAACAGTTTTCAGAATTTAATGCTTCCAAGATTTACTAAACAATCCCAAAATGCAACAACAACAAAACATTTGTGGTGGACATTCGAAGAACATAACCTTTTAAAAACAAGGCTGACAGCTGCCGTAAAATCTTTTTTTTTTTTTTTTTTCAAGAAAAACAACTTTATTGTCTAAAAAAAAGTAAAAATATAATAATTTAATTAACCTGCATTCTGTTTATTTGACTCTATTTGCAGCAAACCAAAAAGCTAGAAGAATCAAAACCTAACGCTGAAAAAGGATAAACTGTAAAGGATAATAAAATTTTCGATGAAATGTCAACGAAATTCAAAAGAAGTTTGAAAACATGAACCCTTCGAATAAAATTTCCAATTTCCCCAATGCATTTACCTGACCCGGCGTTATTTTTGTCGAAGTAGCCATTCTCAACTCCAATGGAAATGAGAAAAATAAAGAGAGAGAGAGAGAGAGAGACGCTTCTTTGGCTCAGCGGTGCTGAATTTTTTTAAGATTTCTCATTTTCTCTTTAAATACGAAAGAGACAGTGGACCACGTTAAGGAATCGCACTCCGCAGTACAGAGTTGCAGCTACCGGAGGTACGGCGGGAAGCCTGGCAGCGCTTTACCGGTTAATTGATATTTGAGAATTTACTAATTTAGCTTCACATAATGTTTACAACAACAACAACATCAAGCCTTTATCTCATTACGTGGGGTCGGCTACATAAATCTTTTTTCTCTATTGTGTTATATTAAAGGTCAAATTGTCTTTTAAATCTAATAAAGAAATGTCATTTCTAATATTTTCTAACCAAGTCTTTGTAGGTCTGCCTCTAACTTTCTTAACATAAGTCAAATCTAATACATCTACTCTCCTAACCGGGTCATTGGAAGGCCGCCGTTTTATGTGACCAAGCCATCTAAGGCGACTCTCTCTAATCTTATCTTCTAATGGAGCTACTCCAACCTTTTCATGTATATGCTCATTTCGTATCATGTCTCTAAGGGTAAAGCCACTCATCCACCTGAGCATCGTCATCTCTGCCACACTTAACTTAGTATTATGCTTCTCTTTTAATGGCCAACATTCAGCACCATAAAATATTGCAGGCCTCACTACCATCTAAAGCCTCACACAATGTTTCTAGATAAAAAATTATATAAAATAAAAGTTATATTAACATTTCAATTGAATGATAATTTAACATGATAAAATTAAAAAATAATAATATAAAATATATTAAAAATAATGAATGACATGCCTCTAATGTATCATTTCATAATGGAGTGTTGAAACAACAAGGTTGTGAAAACAGATCTGACAATAAATTGGAAGAAAGAGAGCTTCATCGATCGATTCGACTGGTAGAATTGGGGTTCAAATAAATGATCTAATAAATAATAATATTATTAAATTTTAATAAAATTAACATAATAATAATA